GCAAAGCGGATTTACGAGAAAACATACTGGTCGCATGTCCCCATCAGTAGTCTCACCGTTACGCTAGTACCGGTTGTGTGTCATATCCATGGTTTTCACCTACTTGGGCCTCAACAAAGAAGACTCGAATGTCCCAAAGCAGTCGGTTGGACTGTAGCTTGTTCGATACCACCAGTTTCCACACTCAATCTTGATTTTCAACCAGTTCCTTGTAAGTCTGTTTACAATGTGTATCACGAACATTACTGCTCAAGCTCGTTGGATAACTCAATCCAACCGGTATTCATTCCTCGACGGAACACACTGCTCACGAGGTTGCTGAAAACTGCTCTACAATCCACAGTAGGTTTCGTTCTTCTTGGGTCGACAACTGCCGCCTCTCTGGATGGGGACTCCGGGACTCAGCTCACCAATGGTTGATAACACTGGCAGAAATGGCCGAATCACACAGTCACTGGCGCTGGCGTGTCACAGGTATCATCTTCATTGCTTAGCTGCCCGATTCCTGAACTAATCAGATATACCATCGCCTCCAAGGCTATGTCCATTACTCTCCCACTTTCCGGCGATCGAAACTGTAGCATTGGAACCATTGTGCCAATGACACGCGGTTTATGGATGACAAATTGAATTGATTGAATTTGGGTTCATCAAGTAGGCGCTGTCTCCTAGTTTCCGTCAATCTTGTGTTCTACTTGTATCCACTCCAGTCTTCCTTGAGCAAAATTGAACTAGAGGCAGCTCAGCGATTAAGGTACAAAACTTGTCCGTAATTCGAACTCACCCCTACCTTTTTGGTTGCTCTTGTTTAGGCGATCCCGTGCTTTCTCCCGGTTGCATGATATCTATGCACTACAAGGTTGCTAGAGCTAAACCACCCTATAAGAAAACCGCGTGTATGGCCTACTTACTTGTTTATGAAATTCAGGATTTCAGGTCTGTGAAAGAGCGTATTTTGCAAAAATGGCGATACGTTGTTGGCAGTTGTCAAGATAGACTAGCTTGTGAGGTTTCAGTCTCAAACTTCTGTAGAAACGAATGACCGAGTATGGTTTCGGAATAAAAAAACGACGGACTCAGCGATGTCCTGACTGGACCATCCATATACGTTTTTAAAGGGATACCTGGTCAGGTAGTCCGGATAGGAAGACCCATCCCAACCCTAAAGACCCAACCAATGACTGAGCTCCCTAGTCTGTGCGATCCACCTCTTGATCTATGTCATTCAGAAAC